TGTTACTCAAGTAAAAGTATAAAAGTATTGTCATCAAAATATAGTGAAAATAGCGACAGTAAAAGTAGTCGTTGTGCAGATTGGTTTATTCCAGAATACTATATATGATATGTTTTATAATGATTGATCATGAAAGTGTTCTCAAAGCTGGTGAAGGTGCAGCTAGTTTGAAGTACTTTGTATACTGCATACGGTAGCTGGTGGATTCACTCCAGGTGGAACTAAAGTCTGATTAAACACTTGATTAGATTTCACATCATTCATCCACATCTGAAAGTAACTAAAGGTATTAAATACATGTAGTGGAGTAAAAGTACACCATTTACCACTGAACTGTAGTGGAGTAGAAAAATAAAGCAGCAAAACATTTTAGATACTCAAATAAAGTACCAGTATCTCAAAATTGTGCCCAAGTATAGGACTTGTTAAGTTTATGAACTTAGTTACTTTACACCAGTGGCTATACAGATAGAAAGACTAAGCCTTGCACAGAGGCAAGAAAAGACATTTTAAAAATGCTCAAAAGTTCTGCCAAAAAAAACTGACTGCTGAAATGAGATCTTCCTTTGTGCTGTGGTCATAAAACCCCCAATGGGTCGCGCCGTGATCTGCTTCAGATTATCTTCTCCTTCCAGAGGTCACGCCTGTCTCTGACCCCGTGTCTTGCGTTTTATTTTTATTTTCTTCTTCTGCAGCACCAAGCAGAGTATAGAAAAGGAGGGGATTTTGACTAGAAATAATTTCAAACAGTTAAATAAAGGATGTTGAACTATATTTAAAACTGTAATTGAACTTCAACTCATATCCATTATCTGATTCCAGTGGCCAGTTGGAAACAGATAATGACAAAGTTTTCATTTTGCATCAATCGTGCAAAAAGATTCAATCACCATTGTGTCTAAGTCTTGTCTTATCTGCTTTGTTTCGGAATGTGTTAAATACATTAGGTTATTTTATTTTCATTATTACCATACAATACATAGATTAAGAATAAATGAAACAAATAATACAACATTGACCTATTTGAGCAGACAGATGACCCGCAGTTATGCCTCTGGGGTTCCCGGGTGTAAAACAGAGGCTTTTTTGCTATTTATTTTCCTTTTGCGGAAATTTAGATTCATTTTACCTAGGCTGTGGACTGATTCATTTTATTAGTTGTTACAAAAACATGCACAAGACGGGCAGGTATACAAACAAACACGAAACAATTATACAAACAAACATGAACCCGCAACAAATATCAGGTGACAGCTAAACTCATCCAGTTTAATTTTAATCCGAATTAGGGAAACTTCAGCGGGGGTAGGGAAAATATCAGTACTTATTTTTACTTATTGTTTTTTTTTAAATTATTTTAATTTTTAATTTTTTTTTAAACAAAATCCAATTCAATAATCCGTAAGTTTATTAAACACAGTGTGAATGTAATATTCTGCCACCACCCTTCCCATTTAATAGCTCAATTTAGTTCTTGAGCTTATGGTGTGATTAACAGAAAATACAAATCTGTGTTGTTAAACATTAATTCAGTTGATGAGCAATAAACGACCTTATTCTCAATCAAAACCACTATGCAAATGTAGTGGTAAAACTGCTCAACCGACCGAGAGCAGAGATATTAATTAATTAAATTAATTCTAAGAACGGAATCTGCTGAAGAGTAATAACCACATTATTCTCAATCAGCAACCACTATGCTAATTAGTGGTGCTCTGCCCTCCCCGATCCGGAGAGGCAGAGACTTTTAATGAATTCAGTACCCTTTATTTTAACAACAGGCAAATTCAACAACCCCTCAGTTTATGAAACACAGCGTGACGTAATATTTCGTATCACGTTTCCCGTTAATAAGAGTTCTGTTTAGTTCCAAAACTCATAATGGTGCGATTTAAAAATAATACGACACTGTGCTTTGTTTATCCCCGTGTGTGCTGCTCCCCACAGGGGGGGGGGGAGGGGAATTACCCACACCCTCCTCCTGCAGCAGCAACAGGGTGATTTCGAGGCGAGTTGATTTAACTAGTTAAACCGTTGAAATCTCCAGAATTCGGCGATTCGTTTCAGTACAAATCTTTACATTGCTTTTAAACCGAAGTTCCACATTACTGATGCCCTCTTTAAGGTCTCTCCGAATATTTGCCGTGCACACACACAGAGGAAACCAAAAATATTGCATCTATCTGTTCCACAGGTAATTTTATACCGTAAATCACAGAGTCTGGCGAGGCAATGTCAAAATATAGATTTGAAATTACACTCACCAGCTCGACGATTTGTTGGTAACCGTTCGCGACGCCCAATTGTGAAGTTAAAACTTCTTTGCAGCAATGTTGAGCGCATCATGAAATGAGGGAAACTGGATTCACCCGTCAATACACTGATATTATTGAGAGACAGACAATTACATACGGCCGGGGATCATCCTAGTTTCACACTGTCCTTGTGCTCCACCAAGGTAATCTCTGCCCCAAAAGACACAAAACATCTAACCAACACGAGGAGAGGCAGGCTCCCAGAAAGCCCGCGTATACCTAATTAGTAGCAGATGTGAGACAATGGTCTACTTGTCTCAAAGAGATCCAGACAAGCCTCAACCTACACAGGAGTCTTTGAGTGACTACAAGCAGATGTTTGCAGTATCACAGATTCTATAAAACAATAAGAAACTCTATAAACAGATCAGATGAAAATATTCTCTTACAGTCACCATGCCTGGCCCACACATGACTACAGTTCATACAGCTCTAGCTGAGAAGTCCTTCAAGGGTGTTGCCCTGCGTGAGAATGGCAGGCTTGTACAGATTCATGCAGGTCAGTTTTTCCGCAGTATGGTAGAGAATCTGAGACACAGAATGACTTCCAGAACCTCCTCTCATGTCAGCACAAGAGAAATCCCATTACATGGCCGGGAGGCCCGGGACAATCAGCTAATCCAGGACATGAAAGTTATCCATCCTGGAAGTTGGCCTGAAGAGGAGTTAGACGTACAGTATGGGGACGTAGAGGTGCTACGTTTGTGCGAAGTGCTGAAAGTGGACAGAAGAGAGACTGTTCAGGGCTTTCGCGAATACAAGGAAACCAGGGCATCCCGTACACCTGCTGCCATGGAGCCTCTACTGAAAGCAGTCCGAACCATCGCTGTCTCCACTAGTGAGTGTGAGCGGGCATTCAGCTGCATGAACGATATCCTTACTGCAAAAAGGAATGCTCTCTCTGTCAGCCGACTGTCCAGCCTGGTTTTCATTAAATGTAATGGACCATCACTAGGACAGTTCAATCCGGAACAGTATGTGAGGTCCTGGCTGGCAAAGGGAAGGAGAAGTGCTGATGAAAGAGCCTGTCCAGTATCCAGCCCCTGATACTGATGTCCCCAAGGCCTTCTGGAGCCTTTTTCTAACAATGTGAAGTATATTGCAAAGCAGCTCACCCAGTGAGAAGACTTTTGGCATAATGTGCCGATTTGTACAGATCCTGGAGATAGAAGGACTTCAGACCAACCAGGGAGTTATCTGATCAGCTTGGTGTTCAATGTAACTCTTACCATGGCTCAGACTTTGTACTTGCAGTTACAGTTTCTCATTTTAGATTGTGCAAATTTGCATTTGTTTTTACATGTTCTTTGTTCCATGCTCTTTATCATTTTTCTGAGTTGGAAAGTTAGATTGCATCATAGTTTACTTTATACATATTTGTATTCTTCAGTGGTGAAGTATATTGCAAAGCAGCTCAGCCATGTGAGAAGACTTTTGGCACTTTTTCGTTTTTCGTTTTCTGAGTTGGAAAGTTAGATTGCATTCAAAATGTACAGAAATACTTAATTTTGTTAAAGCTTTGTATAAAAAATGCTTCTGACCAGAGCTTTGTTTCCTTGTCATTAATGTTGAACACCACCAGAGGGGCTCTCACCTGAAAGGTCTCTGCTTCATGTGTCTTCAGCAGAAGATCTAGACTTTGATTGCTATATTTTCAGTTAATATTGACCTTACTGAGCTTTAGCCATATCCGCTGCCTATCATAAAAAATGTTAAGTACAGTGAACCTTTCTAAAATATACAGTAGTAAAGAGACAAACCCACCAGCATTATAGTAGCCAAATTCTTGTTTGTGGGCTGTATATATAAAATTGACTTGAAAAGTTGCTGATTTTAGAGTACTGGCACCTTTTTCATTCCAATTCAAGCACTGCCCAGAACTGCCAGCGCAGCACCTCCCCAGATCTGGCCGCCCTAGGCGAACATCTAGCCAGCGCTACGGGCGGCCCTGAGTTCATATCATGGTTTTCAATGCAACTCGCAAATATCTTTCTCTCTCTCTCTTCTTCTCTCTCTCTCTCCTCCTCTATTTTCTCTGTTCTCTTTTCCCTTCTCTCTGCTCCCTCTTTCAATTGTTGGTACGCAAATGCGCCTTTGTTTTCAAAATGACCCGGTGCTCTTTTTTTGGCGGAGGTGCGCATGCGCACCTGCGCACCAGTTATGTGCAGCCCTGACTATAACACCCCTTGCTGCTAAATACAAACCAACTTTGTGCAATATGGGCTCTATGTGCAATATATATATGCCATTAATAACTGTGTAATTTATACCTGGCCACTAAATCAATATATATGCCGTTTTGTTTTTTGATCTGTATTTTTGAAAATTAGTAACTTTTTATCTTTTTTTTTAGCATATTGTTTATTATATTATAGACTTAGTACTTTTTAGCATATTGTTTTATTTTATTCTAACTTAGTACTTTTTTTAACGCATGTAAGATATGCAACACTAAGCTGTCTGTGGCTCTTTTCCCTGCT